CATCTGTTCTGCTGTAATATTCAATAACTGCTTTTGCAGTGTCGACTTATATTGGTACTTACCAACGCCCAAGTTTGAAGAATCGAAAATAACATAAATCAATAAGTACATAAAAGGGATTCCAGATGGATCAATAGATAAAATAATAATGTGTATAATTTGTATGCACCTGGAATTTTTTTTCATCCGACCTGGAAAAGCCTGGAAAACTCAGGGAATTTGATTCCTTGGATTGAGTAGACACCCTGTAATAGCCCAGTATTTTTCGATTGGCCTTAGTTCCGGCAACCGGTGGAAACTAACGATTTTTAATTGGCTTGACTAGCCTATTGGTCCCAAGCAAATCGATTAACGTACCCCATTCTCGTCAAACTTCTAGTAGTACACTATGTTTGTTTTGATTCGCTATGAAAGTTTGATAGATAAAATAAGGGGTTCGTGGATTTTCCTATGTTTCGAGGGGTACATCGATTAGCTTGGGGCCGAAGAGAGTACCAGAGCTGAGCAAAAAGTTGAGCACGTTTCTTCGGGACCTTCTGGTCTTAGAGATACCTCTATGATTCCGGTGCGTTGGGGTTGTTCATGTCCTTGGGTACGTTGGCTTTGTACCACTCCAGGACAACATTTGAATAATGGCAAGAAGATCGTAGGGTCCTCATGTTGCTTCAACAGAGGAAGCAGACGCTTCTGTATACTCCTTGAGGTAAATCTCCCCGTTTACAGTCCCGGTAGTCATGAACGGCGCACTCCGTTTGCCACATGAGCAGATTGCTTGCCAAATCATGTATTTCTTGGCAAACTTTGAAAGTTTCTGCTTCCTTACTTCCTCCGGAACATCAAACTTGTGCTAGGCGGTGAAGAACAGTAGCCCCGGAAGCTGCCGGAAATCCGCCTTGACGTAATCATCCATGATGAGACAATGAAGCTTCGTCAGCATCTGGGTATACAGTTTCCGGGCCCGTGACATCGTATTTTGCCGTTCGCCACATTTTTAATAAAGACACGAATGCATCAGCAGATGTAAAGTGTCGGTAATAAACAAAAACAACAACAACAACGATTTGGAGCCTTCTGCACTTTGTACGTATGTAGTCCCTCCCCGTCCTTGGCTCTCTGGACGAAAAACTTGGACAGATTAAACTTTTTGGCCACATCCCTGACCGAAGCATTGGGATTCCACTTAAAAGCTTGTGATCCTGATCACTAATAAAGCATCCTTTCTTACCGCATTTCTCCTTCCATTCGATGCTCATAGTTTCATAGTAACATTTAATCACACGACTCACCGTTGACTGCACGATTCCGAGTTGTTTTCCGATGTCCCGATAAGAGAGTTAAGGATTTTCAAGGTGCTTTCAATTCGCGACGTTGCTTTTCGGGTGAAGCCATTTTTTCTAACTTTCGAAAAACTGACAGCGATAAAAATACAGTGTATACAATACACTCCGAAAAACTTCTACCCAAATTTTCAAGTGAAAATACCCAAAGGGTAATTTTCTACAGCGTTTTTTCCGTGATGCAATATGATGTGGAACACCCTTTATATGGAGGGATAGCTGCAATGAGATACAGAGAGAGGTGAAGCAGATGGTGAAATATGGTTGTATTAGTAAACCAAAAAATCAACGTAAACGCAATTAGTGACGTCACTAATTCAGTGTCAACATTTCAAAGGGGCGTAATTGCATTTGTAAACAATGGCTTTAGCCTTCGATTTCTGGTGAATAAAAGCTCAATCATGAAGATTAATGTCACCAGCAGATAGAGGAATGTTACCTTTACCAGCTAGCATTGTTAATATGGAGAGGTGAACTTTTATTTGCGAGAAATCGACGGCTAAAGCCATTGTTTACAAAATCAATTACGCCCCTTTGAAATGTTGGCACTGAATTGCTTGTATCGTTTTTTTTCTCCTTGATTTGTTTTCCGTGCTGAGCACCAATGCTACTGACGCCAGGAAGGTAGCTCCCACACTTGGACCCTACCTATCGACCCATCAACTCATGAACCGGGGACCACCGGCTTTACATCCCTTCCGAAGGAAGGCGTGATCAGAGATGTTATGTCTCAGAACATCCCGGCGGCGCCGACTGGGATTGAACCCAGGCCTGCTGGGGTGAGAGGTAATCACGCTTACCACTACACCACCTGCGCCGCTAATTGCTTGTATCTTACATGGGTTTCACTCACACAACTTAGCCGATTGCTTCACCTCGGTAATCCAGCTCATTGGGATAGCTGTACATTGCTATGCACACAAGCCTTTATCACCTGAACAACTTTCTCGAAGATAGCATCTTCTCACACAGTCAGGATGTTAAGATATAGCAGCATATGCAGGACGATCATATGGACGCTAGTGCCACTTAGTGAGAGAATTCTGAACTAATAGGTATAACATCCGAGGGATCTAGCACCTGAAAAACTTTACTGAAGACGGTAACATTCCATATGGTCAAGTTCACGAGATATCCTGTTCTGGAAATATCATGAACATATAGGGGAAATGACGGCTTCGACATGACAGACTATTTTCGGCAACCCTAATTGAAACACTATTTTCACTGGATTTTCTTACGAAAACACTTCGCTGAATGCATGCAAACGATTCTTTATGCTTTCAGCTTCACTTTGACTATATTTTTACCACTGAGAAAAAGCAATCTAGCAAGGTTTTCTTGAAATGAAACACACGCACTACAAATTGTAGCTGATTTCGAGTTGCCGATAATAGAACAGCAGATTTACATGCAGTTCAAATGGAACGGTTGCCGAAGAAAAACTGGTTGCCGACAATACTCGCTCTCACTAGAGAAGATTGGAGCTTTGTAAAAGCGTTTCAAAACAGTTTTTAACAATTCTTTCGACTGAAATTGTTAGAGCAGCTGGCAGCAAAAGATTGTAAACAAACCAATACTGCATATGTGTGCGATCCATAGAGAAAAAGGCTATAGAAAGAAGGTCGCTGCTTAGGTTGCCGAGAATACGTAAATTCCCCTACCACTTTCGCTCCCAACGGTTTCTGGTTTACGGTAAATTTTATCCGCATTTCCCAGTTTTTCAACCACATTTCGATATTTTTATACGATCACGTTTATTGAACTCCTCTGCAACACATTTATGCTATTTAGATGAGAAAACTTGATAAATTGGTTTTATTATTAGAGTAGGGGAAAGTGAGGCAATATGGCCAATGGGGCAATGTGGCCACACGCTTAAAAACCAACTTATTGGACATATTTTACCAAAAATCTGTAGCAGGTTTAATGCTTGAAGCCTACTTCAACTATCCATTTCATTTAAGGCGAACAAAATACTTTTCTCTTGAGCATATGTTCGAAAAATATTAGATTGTAGCTAAAATTACAAAATGACAAAACTGTTATAAGATTTCTGAATCAGAAAATAAGGCCTATCAGTAGTTTATTGTAACCTAGATTGTAAGTTATCGTTGATATTCCTTCAGCAGCTTTAAAAATGGTCATTGGTTTCTAATATGATACTATGTTTTTCTAGATTTTAATAAAAATTAAAGATTTCGTCAACAAAATATTACTTAAGTCCATTAGGGGCAATATGAGAACCATTGATATATCTACTTAAATTCTTCAATTTTGCATTTTTCCTTTCATAAATATGACTGTATCATATTAAATCACGTTTTGAAACAGCTGCTTTGGTAAAAAGTCAGGCATTTACAGGATTGAAAAAATATAGCCTTAAATAGGCAGCATTTCTGAAATTTATTTTTTTCTACAGAAAATAATTGCTTCTCTTAAATCTTTTTATGCTTAAACTGTTCAATTTTGACCCTTCATATTGCCACAAGATAACATAATATTCTTACCCGTTGTTTACACGGCCGCTCATACCACCTCGACAGAGTGCTCATTTTACCCCAAGGGTTTAATTTTGGTTAAAAATATTCGTTGTAGAGACCACAAATGGCCGACACGTAGGCTATAAATATACTTTAACCTCGAATGTTCAATTACACAAATCTCGGAAATTAGAGCCCCATTTCACCTGAAATTGCTACTGGATGCACCGCACGCTGCACGTGGAGTAACAGTTTCATTGTAGTTCATCTCGTGGAAGCTGATATTTAGGCACTTAATGTTTCGAAGTGGTAGAAAGAATAAGGATCTCACAGCGAATCACCTTAAATAGGGCGGGAAACTAACATCATTCGAATTTTCAACTGAATTTTAAGGTGGCCAAACTGCCCCACTTGCCCCTATGTTGAATAAAAAATTCAGTACCAATATTTCAAAGGGGCGTAATTGCTTTTGTAAACAATGGCTTTAGCTATCGATTTCTGGCAAATAAAAGCACATCCCTCCAAATTAACAATGCTAGCTAGTAAAGGAAACATTCCTCTACCTGCTGGTATAATTAATCTTCATGAGTAAGCTTTTATTCACGGCTAAAGCCATTGTTTGCAAATGCAATTACCCCCTTTGAAATGTTTACACTGAAATGTAAAATGAAAAATTTACTCTTAGACTAGTGCATATGTACCATTTTCGCTCGCAACGATTCATATGACACTTGGCCCTCCAGGCTTCGAATCGAAAGTCTGTTTTTCAAGCGGTATTATATAGAGGAAAAATTGGCTTCGGCAATACCTTAACCTATTATCGTCAGGGGGGTAAACAAAATCCTAGGGAACTCAAATTTGGCCAATAGTTGCTCTGAAACACAATGTATCCACATGCCAAAATTGAGCTCTCAAGGACACGTTGACGTTTATAGGTTAAGGTATTGCCGAAGCCAACTTTTCCCCTACCATTCTAAAACGGGATCGCTCGGGCTATGGTATTCGTGCTGATCATATATCATTCCTTCGGTTATCGGTTCTTAAAGTCTGTTATGCCAAAACATATTGGTCGAGGAGATGACCATCCTATTCGGAACAACAATTCGGATATTAGAATAATATAAAAGACAATATCTACATATAAAGCATTGTAAACGCATGTTTGGTCAAGATCCGTCATGATGCATATCATAAAAATACAATCTCAAACAAATTACAAAAATTTACTGTAGTCCAGTTTAAAACCAACCCAAGCTTGGCATTCGTTAAACATCGCAAACGGATCGTTACTGTCCACAGCTTTCGGTTTATCTTCCGTCAAAGGATCGAAGAGCTTCCGCTTTATTTGCGTTCGTCCTCCTGTCGATCCACCAGGAATTCCGCTCTCATTGTGGGAAGCAGAATGCTTCTTGCCATGCGACTTTTTATTCGAAGCCGTACCACCAGCGGCTTGTGTATCTGCAGTTGCGGGCGCAACGTCCTGATACGCACTGTTCGTCCCCGGATGTTTGGCAAACTGTTCCGGAGTTACGAAATTTTGCGAGCCAGTCGATTTGGACTGCTGCTGCTCGATATCGCCCATCGATTTGTGTCGCTGTCTCTGGCGATTTCCGGCCTGACTATGATTGGCAGCGCATCCGGTTTTGTTTTCGAAGAATTTGGTGTTTTGCTTTCCGGTCGAACTAAACACTGGAGAACCACTGCTGCCACCAGCAGCCGGTCCTTTATGTTTGGTTTTTTGGATCTTTTCCAGCCATTTCTTAAGGCGCTTCACAAACGGCAGTATCATAAAGAACGAATTTCCATTCATGCTGAGATTATCCTTGACAAAATTTTCGTTCTTGGTCACCGGCAGTGGTTCGATTGGAAACCATTCGCAACATTTGATCTCGTTTCGGGTACGAGGTGCGAATACCGTCGAAATAGGGACTCCTCTGATTAGATATAATCTTGTGTACTGGTAGTTGATGATCAGTTCGATGAATTCCGAGGGGACAAGTAAGTTCTTGATATCATATCCGGTCTCTTCGTAAACCTCACGGATGGCGCAGTGAATGGGTTCTTCATTTTCGTTGATTTTACCCTTGGGGAAACCCCAGGATGATTTTGCCCAGAACGATTGCACCAGCAGGACATGTTTCAAGTCTTCGGACAAAAGAATTGCACCGTAAGTAGGAACCGATAGTTTGTACTGCTTCCAATCTTCGAGAATCTTTTCAACGTATGACAAGTGCGGTAGCAGGAAAGGAATGCGCTGAAATTGTACGATTGTTGATCAATGTGTAGTCCGCTATTAATCAAGAATGTGAAAACCCTACCTGGAAAAGTTGGTAAGCAAACTGTTTAATACCACACTTTTGCTTCTGTGCCACGCAGTAGAAGTCCAGATAGAACCAGTGGGCCAGTTCAATCTGGAAGCAAACACGGATCAGATTTTGTCGCTCATTTTCCGGAACATTGATGATGAATCGGCTGCCCAGGTCGTCCAGGATGTCACTGCTGATAACTGTCGCCAGCTGTTGCTGCTGCAGTTGCGGTTGGTTGACCTTAGGTTTGCTACCACTAGGGATCGATGATACAACAGTTGCCGGACTATTTGTGGCCATTTTTCACGGATTTCAGACAATATTCTTCATATCACGGTCTTCACTAAACAAGCCACCGACGTTTTTGTTTATTGAATGAAAATGACGGAACGGATCAGGGTTCGAGGGACAAGCCACAGATTTGTTTACGATATTGTGCAGTACTAGATTGATGCACTGCGTAAAAAAGCATATCAGACTCATATGAATAAATCGACACTGAGCATTCATGCTTCATATCCAGAATAAAAAAAAAACTTAAACGAATCATACAACCATAGAAGTACCTGCATAAACGCGAACCATAACTTGACCTTACCGAAAATTATTTATAATCCCTGCTAAACTGAGATGGCTATGGAACTTTACATGAACGTTTGTGTAATAAAGTTTTAACCTTATGTATTATGGTTCTTTGGAAGTGAACCTTATACCAACAATCAATACGAAACTAACGATTTTAAATTGGCGCACCACTTTAGTAGCCTATTGGTCCCAAGCAAACGATTAACGTACTCTATTCTAGTTGAAATTCTATTACTACACTATGTTTGTTTTGATTCGCTATGAAAGTTTGACAGATAACATCAGGGGTGTGTGGATTCATGCAGAACATGCAGGGGTGAGTGAAATAGCTTGGGACTGCTTGGGACCGTTGTTCTGGTACTGAGTGAGCCAAAAATAATAATGATTTTCTGCGGGACCCAGTGGTCTTAGAGTTACCTCTATGGTCTTAGAGTTACCTCTATGAATTTACTGAACGGATTGTTAATAATAAAATTACCGAATAGATTACCGAATGTTCAGCTGTTCCATATTCGGTAAAAAATTACAGTATACTGTAAAAAAAATCTTAGTGTGTACGCCTACAAATCAAAAACGGAAAGAATTAAGATAATAGATGATCGATCAATTAAAAGACCTAAATTTTCTTCACATTTGTTCCGTGCCCTAGCGGTCCTACGTCAAGCTCCCGTTCATGCCCCTAGGCACAGACTCTTCTACTTTTTTGACAACCATTTCGAGTGACTCTGCACCACGTATGTGAACATTACGCGCACTTTTTCACGAGTGAGTGAACTCAAATCCATCCTTGCACTCGTCTATTGAAACCCAGCCTTTATAGTTTCAGTCAGAAGAATTTGTTCAGTGCTCCGATCTAGTACTTCCACAGTCGAAATTGGCGTTGCTTTGTTTACTATACGTGTGTTTGCATCCAATGGTGAAAAAAAGTTCCATTGCCAGTGTAAATTGCATTTATTCGTTGTAATTTATGTTCTATTTAGTTGAATTAATCCACATAACTATGAAACTTGTCTTTCTATAACGGTTATTGCACGGTAACAGTGAAAAATTTGCAATATATGTGACCTGAATATTTTCTTTTTGCGTGATAAATTCGCTGTCACTTTTTTGCTGGTCGACATCCCGCAGTCGACAGAAAAAGAAGCCGTCAAAACCGTGGGGGTTCATTTGTTGACAAACTTTCGTCGTTTTTGTGTGGTGGAACGTCTGGAGTGGGGCCAAAGTTTTTCTTTTCCTCCTCTCGTATGCAGTCAGCCAGTCAGTGGTAGAAAATAATCCAGTTCTTGCTGTGCTCCTCTGTGTTCGTGTGTGCGTGTTTACCTACTGAAAGTGAATGATCTAAGCTTGTGAAGAAAATAGCAAAAAATAAGTTTAATAATTGATGCATCAAAACTTTCTGCAAAAATGTACTTCTGAGCTGACTTCCAAGGTCTGAAGGAAGGGCAATTAAGAATAGCTGAGGAAGCTACTCTGCCAGTAACCAGAGTTGGGTAAATTCTATCTCCTGTGCTCTAGCTAGAGAGCGTTCATTTGCAGCTGCCTGCAAAAAGTGTGTCGATATGGCAGACAAAAGGTGAGAAAATTTCTTTTATGTGGTACTTTGTCTTTTCTGTTTTCTCTATTGTGTGTTTGTGTTGTTGCATATATTGGGGTTGGTAAAATGATAACGAAATCCGCTTTTTGCGCGTCTAATTATTATGTATAGTTCGGTTGGAGACAAAAGTCCGGAGAAGGAGGCTACCAGCCCAACCGGAAGCATGTCTGGATCGGGTGGTGGCAGCTGGTGGGGTTCCTGGTTGGACACGGCTAAATCCAAGTCGGCCTCCGTGTTGGAAGCGGTCAAAAATGATCTGACCGAACTGACGACGGTTGTGAAAACGGAAGCCACAAGCGCCACAGAGGCACTAGGAAGGAGTTTGAGTCTAAACGAGCCAGATTCCACTGTCGGGGCGATGAAAAAGAGCTTTAGCTCATTCCTGGGACAGGTCACGGAAGCTTTGGTTCCAACCCTTGATGAAGAGGAGGAAGGAGAAGACGTTCTGATAACGCACGAAGGAACGGATGAATTGAATGGTTTCTATAAGCACCTTGCGGAACTGCAGTCGATGGAGGGTACGTATTTGGAAGAACCCTCGGATGAACTGAGCGAAAAATATAAGCGCTGGATGGAGGTGGTGGAGCAGGAACAGTTTACAGAGCCACGGTTGGCACGACATCTAGCTAGTAGCACAATACTAAACGAACAGTATACGGCCCTGGTGCCTAGCAAGGTCGCTCATATGGACTTTTGGAAGAGGTAAGAGCGGTGATTGTTTAGTTTATGGAATCAATCGAGGTAAAATCGATTATGTAATTACAGGTACTTGTTCAAAAAGGCTTTACTGGAAGATGCCATTGCCAATGCCGAAATGGCCGACAAGAAAGCAAAGGCAGCGGTTGTTTCCAGCGAAACTGTTGCGCCCAATATAGTGATCGTCCAAACTGATCAGCCCAAGCGGGCAATCGAAGAAGGTAAATTGTAATATTTTGGGACTTGGGTGTTTAAAGTTCTGAAAAGAAGAATCTTCTTCATTACAGAATTGATTACGGATGACATCACTTGGGCTGAAGTTCCGGAGTTCGATGCTTCAAATTTGGAGCTATCGGAAGAGGAACAAGCTCGTCTTCTCGAAGAATATGAACAGGAAATCAAGGAACGCGAGAAGGCTATTGGCAGTGGCCGCATGGACCCCGTAGACGAAGCGCTACTCATTCAATCAGACATCGAAAAAACTCCCCAAAAGAAGCCAGCATCAACTGCTAGCAGCAGCAGCAGCAGCAGCAATAAATCAATAGCAGCAAAGAAAACCCAATCTCAACCACAAAGTGCTAATAGTAGAAACACGAACCAAAAATCGCAACAGCAGAAAGGTACAAATGTAAAGCCTACCGGAAAAGCTGGTGCCAGCGGAAATAGTAAGCAAAAAACTCCAGCAAAACAGGAAAAGAAACCGAACGAACTGAAGATTGAGAAGAACCACTTCACCAAGGACGATGTTTCCTCTTCGAATTCGGATGAAAGCTGGGAAAAGGAGTTTGACCTGGAGGAATGAGCTGCTCTACTTGCTACAATTATCTTCTACCTATCTGTCTAACATATTTCGCCCCGGTAAGTAGCGAACACAAACTATTTCGTAATGTACCTAGAACAACTAGACGTTTCATTTCGATGAGCATTGGGAAAATACTATTGGAAGCATTTGATATCTTCACAGTGATCGAGAAGGACAAGATAGAACGTTTTTACAAATGATTTTTGTAAATTTTAAAACAATGCTGCATGTCTTAAATCCAATTTAAGCTGTTAATTATTATTACTATTAGTAGAATCAAGTGTAATAAAACTATTCGTCATTTTTATTTTATTTTATACATTCTACACATTCTGTTCATATATCTATACTTTACCCCATTCAATAAAGAAGAATGAAAAAAGCATAGTGCGTCCAATTTGTGTCCCGCAAAACATTGTTAGTTTGCTGCAACAACACACTGATATAAAGAAATTTACAATTTACGATAGAAGGCCACGAAGACAGGATGATCTGGTTTGGTCTTTGCAGGAATGTTTTTCGTCTGAGATATAATTGTAGGTCGATTTTAGTGCATAGACTGTGTAATAAGTGATGTGTTTTTTTTTGTTTTCGCGTAGGGAAGGCAAATTAAGAGAATTTTGATGATACGACGGAAGAGGAAGCAGCCGCTGTCACTGTACTAAGTAAGCAAATATAAGCGATTATGAGGAAATATTTTATTACTAATCCAAAGACCGACTCGTTGTACGTTTCCCATTGCTTGGTGATGGTATCCGAAAATCCGGTTTGAAAATAAATGATGGGTGGAGTTGTTTTACTACAAATTTCAGGTATGTTGTGGGAGAAGTTTTAATTCCAACCCCTTGTAATATTCTGTTTGCATTAGTGATGTTTCTAGGTGTGTTTGATGAGAATGGTGAGCTTCGGGTGGCGAGATATTTCACTTGGTTTGACTAGGAAATTGGAACTCCGTTCAAAGTGACTATGTGACTACTACTAGGTTTCAAAAAGGTAGCTCTAGGCTTATGTGGAAATATTATAAGTTGAGTTTTGGAAGCGTTGGGAGAAATCTTCCATTTTTGTAAATAAGAAGAGAAAATATCTAAACTTTTCTGCAGTCTGCTGCAAATAACACGAAGTCTTCTTCCAGTAGCGGAAATGCCTGTGTCATCAGCGAACAAAGATTTGTGGCAACCCTGAGGCAAATCAGGGAGGTCCGAAGTGAAAATGTTATACAATATAGGCCCAAGAATGCTACCCTGAGGAACTCCTGCTCTAACAGGTAGTCGTTCAGATTTGGAATTTTGATAATTTACCTGTAGAGTTCTGTCAGTTAAATAATTTTGAACTAATTTCATAATATAGAGTGGAAAATTAAACTTTTTCAATTGAGCAATCAAACCTTCATGCCAAACACTGTCGAATGCTTTTTCTATGTCTAGAAGAGCAACACCAGTTGAGTGGCCTTCAGATTTGTTTGAACGAATTAAATTGGTAACTCAAGAGTTACCAATGTCCATGGCGAAATCCAAACTGCTCATCTGCAAAAATTGAGTTCGTATAGATGTGAAGCATCATTCTATTTAAAATTATCTTTTCAAAAAGTTTACTTGTTGAAGAAAGCAAACTTATTGGACGGTAGCTAGAAGCTTCAGCTGGATTTTTATCCGGCTTCAAAATTGGAACATCTTTTGCATTTTTCCATTTATTAGGAAAGAATGCCAAATGGAAATGTATCGGATAGTGTAGACCTCGTAAAGTAGCTCGTTTCGCCCTATGTTCCACAAAACCCAGTATTTAAGGGTAATGTATAACAGTTTTGAAATATGTCGCAATGTTTCCGCCATAAAACACACAATTGTTTTGTAAAATATACCAACAAATCGATTGGAGCATGTATCGGATAGTGCAGACCCTGAAAAGAGGCTCATTTTGCCCTATTTTCCCCAAAACTCGTTATTTAAGGGTAATTAAAAACAGTCTTGAAAACTGCCTCTAGACTTCAGTCATAAAACACATAATTTCTTATGTTTTTTTTTCCTTGGATTTGTTTTCCGTCTAACTTGTTTTCCGTGCTGAGCACCAATGCTACCGACGCCAGGAAGGCAGCTCCCACACTTGGACCCTGCCTATCGACCCATCAACTCATGAACCGGGGACCAACGGCTTTACTTCCCTTCCGAAGGAAGGCGTGATCAGAGATGTTATGCCTCAGAACATCCCGGCGGCGCCGACTGGGATTGAACCTAGGCCTGCTGGGGTGAGAGGTAATCACGCTTACCACTACATCACCGGCGCCGCTTATAATTTCTTATGTAAAATCCAACAAATCGATTGGAGCGTGTATCGGATAGTGTAGACACAGACAAACAGACGTAACTCTTTGAAAAAGTTGTTCTTGAAAACATAGTATCTCAATACATAGGACCTCAGTAACGACATCTTCTCGGGCTTCTCGCGGAAAACTAGCTTGCTCGCTAACTTGCAAACAATATTGCATAAAAGTTTTATAGAAATGTCAAAGTGATCCGATGCCAGCGCTGCGGCGAGTAGTTCGCGAAACTGATAATATTCAAATCAACCGTTAAATACGTGAACGAAGATACAAAATGAAGAGTTACGTCTGTTTGTCTGTGGTGTAGACCTCATGTAGCTCATTTTGTCCCATCGTATTTCCTTCTAACTATAATTACGATATCATCTGCAAAACCAATCACTTCAAAGCCTTCAGCTCCTTGTTTTTCTAAAAGATTGTTGATAACAATCGACCACAGCAACGGAGAGCGAACAAGGTCTTGTGAGCAGCCTTCCGTGGCTTTTATTGTTATCGACGTGTCACGTAATTTGGCTGTTATTTCTCGATTGATTAGAATCAAGCATGGGAAAATTCATTCACTCGCGCGAGCACCACAGAACCAAAATAGCCATCCTCACCAGCGTTGCCAGATATACCGATTAATCGGTATTTATACCGATTTCCGAACTAGATACCGATTTACAGATAAGGTTCCTCAGAATACCGATTTTTGAGGTTTTATACCGATTTTATTAAATAATCAAAATGATTATTGCCTGCTTGCGCTCGAATTTTGGAGAAAATTATTGCGAAAGACTTGTATCTCTTTGAATATCTCAACTTTTTGAGCCCTTAATAAAAAAAAAAAACATATTTAAAAATGTCTTATGGACACTCTTTCGATTAATGTTTCAATTTCCTCACCGGTTTTGGCTACCCATGAATCGATAAACAGTCGATGGCTATTTCTGGTAATTCCAGCGGAAATATGGAATATTTCTGAGTACATTTTAGGAATGTTCCAAAAACTTCAGGAGCGTTGTAGGGTCTTCAGGGATTTTTTTATGACCATTTGGAAAATTTTCTGGATCATTAGAACATCCCCCAAGAGCTCTTTCTTCTGGAATTATGTTCTTGTTCCTTTCGACTGTTTCGTTAGCGCTCTGGCTTCCGACTTCCTCCAGATTTTTTTTTCCAATCTACTTTTGGAAGTTTGTTCCGTCTTCTACAGGAAGTTCAATTAAACTCTATTGGAAGATTATTCCGAGGTCCTTCTGGCTTCCCCTAGAAATAGCTACTTCTGGAATTTATTTCCGATTTCCGAAACTTTTCTGCCTTCCGATTTTTTTTCTGAATGTTTCATTAAATTTTCGCCAGAAGTTTCTCTTAGAACTTTCCTCAAATTTCCTCCAGGGGAGCTATTTTCTTCTTTCTCTGGAAGCTCTTCCTCTAGTTTAGTTGGAAGCTCTTCCCGGAGTTTTCTTCCGGAATTATCCGATCATAGTCCAAAAGAAAAAAAAAATCGCTTTCAAAAAAGGCAAAAATTTAAAATTAATTAAAATAGTAAATACCGATCAATATTTTTTTCAACCTTTGATCCCGATAAGCTTTAAAACATTCTGGCAACACTGATCCTCACCTACAAACAGATTGCCGAACGAGTGTACATTCTTTCAGCCAAGTGACTCTGAAGGTAGGCTAGGGGTGATAGCCAGGGCTCTACAATTTCGAAGCTCTAAAATGAACTCGTGTTTTGTTTCTCTCATACATACGTGTTCGACGCTTCATTTCTATAACGCCTAGCTAGACTATCAGCAAGAAACGAAAATAAAAAAGAAGGACGCTTAGAAGGAAAGGCTGGCTGTGGAACTTCTCGTCGTTGCTTTGCTCATCGCTTTCAATGTAACTAACGTCGATTTTCTAGTTAAACGAACTTCATTATGGCTTTCAATCCCCTTTCACGAACACTCTATCACCGCTCTTTCAATTTGTTTAAAATGCGTTATGTCCCGTTTTCGATCATTTTTTTTTAGATAAATATATGGATGGAAGATAAATTAGAAATATGACGTGTAATCTTCAAGTGTTTTGACGTGAGAAATGCTTTAAATGTGTTATTTCATTTTCCGTCATATACGTCATGAAACCTCTGTTGATGTGTTTCATGAAAGAGAAAACTATCAAACTCGAGCGCTCTTTCGCTCATCCATTTCGACGAAGCTTGAAAGGAAGACCAATGGAGCGACGGGAGAAAGAGAGACAAGCGATTGAACATTTGTTTGTGCACGCCGACTGAGGTTCTAGAATGCTGCGAAGCTGTTCGACTTTAACAGAAAAAGAAAGCCAGCAGTCTCTTCGTCGCATCTATTTGGTCGATTGAAGCTGATATTGTGACGCCCTGGTGATAGCAGAAGGAATGAAATATAAACTAAAAGCGAAGACAACATATCAAGAAGACTGGCAACTCTTCCATTTTCTCATACGTCCGGAATGAGACAGGCAGAATCGCGTCATCTGCCGCTCAAAGGTGTCTGGTGAATGCTCCGATTGAATTAGATAGCAAAGGATCCATTCTCAGAATAAAGGTTTGTGTATTTGCTCATTTTTCTATGCGTTGCCTCCACCTTCGCTCAAGCGCAGCGCTATTGTATCAGTCGCTTGGATTCTGGCAAAGTTGCTAGTTTTCTTGATATGTTGTCTTCGCTAAAAGGTAGCCGAACATTTCTCTCTACTGAGGGAGAATCCGATTGAATGCGTCAAAACCGTACGCTAACGATTTAAATAACCGAGTGACTCGGCCCAAGTGAGACATTTTTTGATTCAGTGATTTAAATCAGTTGAATTAGCCACAGCCACCCTAATAAAAATAACCATAAACGAACGATAACCCAAATCATTGAACTATTACACAAATGGTTTGGATGATACCCAGAACACGTCGTTAAGGGGGGAAGCACAATTAGAATTTTTTTTTTCGAAAAAATTTTTGTTGGCTTAATTTACTCTATTTGTATCTGGGAATAAGCCTTCAAAAGCATAAAGCCGTCCGGAACTTATTTAAAAAGTTATGCGCAATTCAGTGAGTGCATGTCAAATGGCTGAACATGTCAAAGTTGAACTTTAAATGCTTCTACTGAAAAGTAGTGTTTTCAAAATCGCCATGCAATGTACAGGTCAGAGTTTTCATTCAAATCAATTCCGGTTTTCTGTTTTATGTTCATAATTAAATTCTCCACAACATGAATAGAAAGATTTTTTAGATTTGTTTGTTATAACATGTTTTTTTTTTTATAAACAAAGTCGAAAAAAATAGGGTTTTTTAATTTTTTTTTTCAACTTCAAATTTGTTTG